CAAAAGTGGCGCGGTTGCCCGGGGCCTTTGGAGAGAGAGACAGGCACAGCAGCCCAGGAGCAAAGGGATCCACAGGAGACGGCTGCACCGTGCTGCCTCTGGGTGAGCGCAGGCCCCAGGAGGGCAGGGACTGTCTCCGGAGGGCCGAGGGTCAGCTGTGAGAGGACTGCCATGGCGGTGGGCATGCCGGTGTCACACGCACTCATGGCGCCCGCGGGAGGCAGTGCAGCGTTTCTGATGCCCCAGAGAAGATGCACCCCGTCCTTCACTGCTGTGCGCAGAGCTCCTGGGCGCCAGCACCCTCCAGGTGCTCAGTTAGCCCTGTAGCTATGGGAGTAGGGGTTGGAGCGTCTGCTCCTGCTGCGTTGTTGTTTTGTCTTTGCTGTTTTGTTTTGCTATACTCATGTGCGCTTGCTGGAGGGAGAGAGAGAGAGAGAGAGAGAGAGAGAGAAATCACCCCCAAGGGGATAATCATGCCACAGTCCCTTCTCTCCCATTCTCCTCTTGGGATTTTGGGCACACATGCACAGGTGTCCAGCATGTCTTCAAGCCTCTGGGTCCGAGATTTGAACCATGGAGTTGGCCATGTTGGATCCAGCTGCCTTACCCTCCATGCCCCCTACTGGCCCCTGATCCTGGCTCAGTCTTCTTGGACTTTGGCTGGTTCCCAGTATTTAAAGACTTGGGAGACTAGACACCTACAAATGATTTACTCCTTAGAAGAGGGGTGGGGGGAAGGCCCTCTGTGGGTTGCAGGTCTAAGGAGGGAGGTGACTCGAGGGTCTCTCCTTGCCAGTAGGGCAAGGATGGCAGAGGTGGCCCTCAGGCACCTTGCTCAGAGGTCGCCCAGGACAGAGAGACGGGAGCTCAGCAGGACGCTCTGTGCGCAGCCAGGACACACTCCCTGTCTAGAACAACCTGGGCACCTTGGCGGGCAGCACGCAAAGGGCCCGGCCCACCCCCAGCCGTTGTCCTCGCCATCCAGGAAGTACATGTCAATCAGAGCTTGACAGGGGAGATAGAACATTTTATTTTGGAAGCCAGCAGTTCGAGAACAATGACTGGAATTTCCTCTTTCTGTCCAGCAAGGCCGTTTGTCACTGGGGAGATAAAGCCCCGGGCCGGGAATAAAGGTTATCTGGGGCTGCTCCGCAGGCCACGGGCTTCGAGGAGGGCCGCAGAGGAAAGCTATTTCAATGCCTGTCATTAAGTTTCCATTAAAAGCACATTCAGTTAGGAATTCAAAAATAATTTAATCTTCCCAGCCAGATGCACCCAGCTGGACCCCCTGGAGCAGAGCCCTGCAGAGGGAGGCTTGCACCACGCTGCCTGGGCGAGGAGCAGGCCACGTCTCCACCCGGCACGTCTGTGGCTGCTGGGTGTCCCAGAACATGCAGCACCCTTCCGGCTTGAGAGAACCCAGCATAGGGCTGGCCACACGTGTCAGGCTCAGTCCGTGTTCCGTCCACGGTGCCTTACCCTGCAGGCCGGGACTGGCAGTTTTTCACTGGAGATAGCCGGACCCTGTCCAGGCTTCACAAGCACCTCAAGTCCCCAGGGGCCCTGGGGGATCCGCCCAGTCTGTATCCAGAAGGAGCACGAACATCCTGAAGGTTTGCCTAGCCTGTCCTTGTACTCATGCGCTATGTGACATTTGTATACTATACACACACACAACAAGCACACATACGAATTACGTACATGCACAAAATGCACACACTAGGTATACATGTGAACTGCACATATGCATATACACACAACAAGTATTCGTGAGAACCATACATACAAACATGCACACACATACTTCCTGATGTATGTACAGTGCGTACATACATATGTATCTACAGTGTGTGTGTAGAGAGGAGGGTTTTATTTCGATCTCCGGGGTACGGACAGATCTCGCCCCATTGTGAGGATGAGAAGTGGACAACGAGGTCACCTCTGTGCTCTTAGCACCTGCACGGCTCTCGCTCGGCCGATCAGTGACTTCTGAGTGAGTAAATACAGGTCTATATGGCTCATAGTGGATTTGAACCCCTGTCTGTGCCGTGAACTTTTGGCCACGCTACACCTCGTGCTAGCGAGGGACCTGGGCTAATGGCTGGACTTGGTCCAGCCTCCGTTTCCTCACCTGTGAGATACAGTTCTGGAATAGAGTTACGGGAGGATTAAGCCGTGGGCGTGAATGTCCCTTTGCAGAAGGCAGGTGCTGCTGACATCCCAACACGGGCCAGGCGGGACATGAGCTGAAGCCCAGGGCGGGCGGTGTTGTCCGCTGAGCAGAACCTGCACCTGACACGATGGCCAGGGCTGTCCTGGGTGGGCTCTCGTGAGAGCAGACGACACCCAGGAACAGAGGCCAGTGTCTCGGAGCCCACCTGAGAAAACCCGCACCTTGGCTCTCCTTCCTGCCCAGCGGATGCTCCTTTGGGGCCTGCGATGAGCCAGGTGTTGGGATGCAAGGACGAGGGTCCAGGGTCCTGCCCCTGTGACGAGGACCCAGGGCCTCTCACCAGGCCGTTGGCCCGAGCTGGGCTGGTGGCCTGCCAGTGCGAGAGTTGTTTGTTGTCATGGTGGTCGTTTCACAGCGACATTGACCCCACTGCTGACAGTGTGGCTGCTGATCAGAGTTTCAGAAATTACCTAGGGTTTAAAAAGTCCTCGTAATCTGTCCACTACTTTTATACTGTATGGGGATGTACAGCCAGTGGGCGGTTTCAAGGCTCTCGAAGTGGCTCTTCTTGCCGTGGGATTGTGCCCCAGCCTGACCCAGGGTTAGTTCATTTATTTCCACTGATTTCTGTCTGCTAGAGCCCGTTTGTTTTTCCTTATTTTGAGTAAACCAGTTTTGTTGATTCATTTTGCAAAGAATTTACATGATTTCAGAATCAGAGCGAGTTCAGAGAACCCCCACGACCTGCCTCTGCCTCCTCTTCACCCCTTCCCTGGGGCATGGGACCCTCTGTTCTCCCCTGCAGTGGGCTTCCTGTGTAAGTATGTATTTACACTCCCTTGTACACGTGGCACCCTGGGTTTTCTCGGTCACAGTATGTCTGCAGGTCACCATGCAGGGACAACTGCTGACACCAGTACTTCTGAGACCTACCCCCTTCCCTTCCTGGGCTGGATTCTTGTTCCAGAGGCCCCGGCCTGCATCGTGAGCCCGAGAGCCTGTGCGTGCCTTCTCTGCACCCTCAGCCCGCCTCCCTTCGCGGGTGCCTGCTGGGCTCACCCCGCCTCCCCAGGCCCAGTGAGCTGGGCTGCCGAGCTGAGGGCCCAGTGGGAGGCGCTCTGCCTTGGTGGTTAGAAAGACAGAACAGATACCCTCCAGACAGCTTGACTGGAAGAGGGGGCTGCCCTCCCAGGCACTCGGAGTAACCCCTTTTGGTGAGGATCCATGCAGTCCACCAACTGT